TGCATCATATCAAAATGAAATATTTTTAATAGGTATCAAGTATATTCCTCACAAAGATTTTTATTCAAAACCATGTTTTTCTTCATTATTTGATATTAAAGTTATTATAAAATATAATACTATATTTCAAATGTGGAGATTTGACAAGATCAAAAGAAAATTACTAGTTTTACCATATAATGATCAATATATTGCATATCCTCTACTGCATTTATAATTGTCTTAAATAATTTTATAATAAATAATAATCGATCACATTTTTCAATAGTTAGTTAAACATAAAATATTTGATAATTTTTAATTTAAATATTTGGAAACTTTATACTAGCTAGAAAAGAAAAATAACATACAAGCTAACGAAAAGTTAATTTTATAAGTTATTTTTCTTATTTAATTAGTATAAAGTCTCAAAATATACTTAATTCAGATTTATTATAATATAATAATTAATTGATCAGTTTTGCATTGAATTTTTTATTTTTTTATTAATTTCTTTATTACATATGTATTTTATTTGTTTAAAAAAATATTCCTTTTCTCTAGTCTTTCAATAATTATATTTTAAAAAACCCTCTTGTTAAATTGTGTAAATTTTATAACTAATTTTTTTTCACTGAATTTTATTCGTTGAGATATTTATTCGTTGATAGATAAAAGTTCAGTTTAGATTGAGATCCGAAATTGATTACTATCAGGTTATCAAGTAATTAAATCTGAATACCTGTAGCCCATAAAAATTTTAAAATAAAAAATTAGCATGTTGAGAATAAAAGTAACGAAAAAGATTTCAAAGAAGAGTCAGTTATGATATTTATTTTATTCTTTAAGTGATCTTGATCTATTTGCTAAATCATAGTTTTTCTCAAATGACATATCTCTATTTGTTTATTTCATTGTCTACTAGAGAAGTTTTTAATAATTGAATTTGAGTTTTAGGAATTTTTAAGAATTGATTAATATGTGTATATAGATGACTTGGCTTGTTGTTCGATTCAAAGAGGATGACACTGTTGAGGCAATACCGAAAAAATGGTTTTTGTTAAAAGAATCTGCATGCTATTGGCCACCACAAAATTATGAAACTACAGCTATTAAAGCAGCTATAAAAAATGAATATAGTCCTGATTCAAACTGGATGAAATACGGAGCAATTATTTTAGGCACATATGGTAAATATGTTATTGCTTATATTATATAAAATTGTATAACATTTTTATAAAAAAAATTATTAAATTATTAATATATGTATAAAGAATTATATACACACACACACTGTTATTAATCATGGAATATCTTCTTTTATTTGTAATTATCATAAACTTATAATAATTACATTGTTATTTTGTACCACACATTTATTTAATATGCAATTCTATAATGTACAACAATATGGTAGTTATATTCTTTGTTATTGGATATATAATAAGTAATATTTATTTAGGTGATTTAAAACTTGCTAAAAGAAAGGCAATTAAAGCCCAACGTACAGATGATCTTTCATCACATACGGAGATTTTAACGAAAAAGAATAATAAAATACATAAGCGGGGACAAGGCAAAAGTAAAGGACATAAGGATTACTCAGATACTGATAAATCTTATGAATCGATATCTGATGAAGATAGCAACACATACCCTACATTACCACTTTCTGGCAAGAGACACGGTATAAGATAAATACTTTTCTAGTAAGAATTCATTTTATTTTCAAAAACTAATTTTCCTTATATTTAACAGATAATGATCGCTCTCCAATGGAAAGTCAAAATATTACTAATCGTAAGTATTTTTAAAACTTGAACTTTTATGTAAAATATTTATTATTACATTATTAATCAGATCAATATACTGAAGAAAATACGGCTTAGCAATTTATATATTTAAATACTGCTACCGGCTTTAAAGTGGAATAAATTAATATAGAATTTATTTATTAACACTATTATTTAGATTAATTTATATTAATACTATTATTTAATTAATACTATTATTTATTATTGAAAAAATCAATATTGTTTTAAAATATTAATTTTTTAAATGTATATTATAATTGTTATCTAAAACCAAAATATTTAAATATAAATATATTTAGATAACAATTATAATATACATTTAAAAAATTAATATTTTAAAACAATATTGATTTTTTGAATAATAAATAATAGTATTAATTAAATAATAGTATTAATATAAATTAATCTAAATAATAGTGTTAATAAATAAATTCTATATTAATTTATTCCACTTTATATTTATATTTAAATATTTTGGTTTTAGATAACAATTATAATATACATTTAAAAAATTAATATTTTAAAACAATATTGATTTTTTCAATAATAAATAATAGTATTACTTAAATAATAGTATTAATATAAATTAATCTAAATAATAATGTTAATAAATAAATTCTATATTAATTTATTCCACTTTAAAGCCGGTAGCACATGGGTACATTCAATGCGGAGCGGAAAAGTCGTCAACATATACATACGAGTATATTCCTATGGTAGATAAGCTACGACAGGCCCAGCGTAGTCCGCTGTAGCATACTATCATAGGAATACATATGTTGAAATTTTTTCTGCTCTGCATTGAATTCACCAACGTATTATCGGCCTTAATATAACAAGTTTGTTGTTATACAACAATTCTGTTAAATAAGCATTATTAATTAAATTGATAATATTTTCTTGTTATTTTAAGATAACTTCAAGCAAACTACAGATAGCGTTCACGTAAATGCTGGTAAATAATTATTTTTATTCTTTATATGTTTTGTATTTTTTAAATATTCCTTTTTGTATAATATTTTAATATCCAATATAACTTAACTTTCAGAATTTTCAGAATTCAGAAAACAACTTCTTAAAGAAGTTCATCTGATTAATCTTAAATTAAATGATCTTATGGATAACGTGAATATACTTGTAAAAAAAGCCCGATATGCTGATGAGCCAGAACTAAATGATGACACTAATACGGCTGTTATGACTTTAATACAATCGTTTCCAGTCGTTACAGAGCAGGAATTAATGTCGATGGAAGAATGGCTATCGAGTTCAGCTGATAACATACATGCACTGGTGTGTACTTAATTATATTATTATATATTATTTAGATTATATTTTACATGATGAAAATTATTTTCTAATAAAGAACTTTTTTATTTTGTGAATTTTATATTTTAGAGTCATCAACTGCGTTTAATTGGAGGCACAGATCTTCCCCATGTAATCAAAGCCATTATGTCGAGAGCAATTTCAAATGAAGTTGGAATGCTATATTCCTGGGAGGGAGCTCGGCAAAAAAAAGCTTTTAAATCGCTAAAGTTCGTCCAAGTGATCATTGGTAAAATATATTATTTTATATACTCTACATCAAAACCATTTTAAGCATATACATATACGCTTGAATCAAGTTTCATCGTAACATAACTGTGTTGCGTAATCAAATAATATTTAAATAGAAAAATTTGAATTTGAATTTAATTTTGTTACATTACTTTGTCGCTTTCATTTTTTTATTCACAATTTTTTAATTTAATATCTGTAATATATATGTATTATATGATGATGTTACGCATTAAAGTTCGCAGATCTGTTCACACCGGTTATGTTGCACAGTTACGTTATGTAATGCTCATATGCGTGCGTAACTTTTATATTTACTAAATGATTTTAGGTGTTGTTCGACTGAACTCCAAGACAAAATCTGCAACAGAATCGGATATCATAGAAGTAATAAAAAATTGGCTAGTTAGAAGTAAAGAACGCAGTAACAAGTTTCAATCAAAAAAGAAAACGGAAAACACTGTGTGTCAAACAGATTCCGTTTGTGAAACAGGCTCTGCTTGTGAAACAGGCTCCGTTTGTGAAACAGGCTCCGTTTCTGAGAAAGACCTTATTCAAGATTAAGATAATTATATGTATAACTTGCCGTTATATATATATAATTATTTGTTTTACATTTATTACAAATTAAAAGTAAAATTTTAAGGTTTTAAATACTATTAATTTGATTGTTCTGCTACTATATATATTATTTGCATTTATTATTTTTGTTTTTTTTATTTAGTGCACATTTATCAAAATTGCTTTTTGTTTTTATTTTAAAATTGAGTTCTTTTTATTTTAAAACTTTAAAACACAACAACGGTTGAAACAACAGTTTTTAATTGTATAGAATATATTATATATGTATGTATTAGAAATAACTTCATTGGATATCTGTACTATACATACATAATATGACATTTAAAATGTTTTTCGAAAATTATAATAAAAAATAAATGCTAAAAAATTATATTAATATACAAAAATATATGTATACAGTGAATATGTTTATTACATCCACTGTTTATATGTACATACATTTTCGTATATCCATATAATTTCTTTAGCATTTATTTTTTATGATATTCGAAAAACATTTTGTACGTCATATTATGTATATAGTACACGGATATCCAATGTCGAATAAAATTAGCTGGAATCTTGATATATATATATATATATATATATATATATATGTACAATTAAAGGTAGATAATTAAAGTATTAGTTTAAAAATTTGTCACATTTTTATAATAAAATACTAAATACAAAATGATCAAAACCTATATATGGCTGTATATTTGAATCTTTTTGAACCTCTCAAATAATATATACATATAATATATGAAAATGTATATACATTAAATGTACATATAGATATATATATTGGATATACGTAGTACATGCATATGATGGACAGTATACGTTCTTTCGATATACATAGTACATGTATGTGCGAGGTACAGTATACGTTCTTTGGATGTACATAATACATGCATGTGATGTACAATATACGTTCTTTGGATATATATAATACATACATGTGATGTACAATACACGTTCTTTGGATACACATAGAATATGCTAAAAGTGCGACGATATGGATATACAAAAATGTATGTTCCATGTATGTACATTGGATGTACAAATGGATGTATAATAGATCTACCTGAGACCTACGGTGCATTGCTTTTGAACATCTATACGATCTGCAATGGACATCTTTCAGATGTGTTATGATATACACAGGATATCCAGAATCCATTTCCGTATATTCTATGTACATCTAGGGGATCTTTTGTGCTGACTGGGCATCTATTTATTTCGGGCTTACTTCTGTCAGTTATACATTGTTCATCAAAACAATGGTTAATTTTGTCGGGGGTTTGCTGTAAATATGATTTATTGTATTAATCTGGTATGTAAACATATATATTTTTGTAAATCTATAATTATTTGTATGATTAAGCGCATTAAGAGTATATTTATATGTATATAATTGTTTATAGATTACTTGAAAAGGGCTGCAATGACAGCCGAAACGTTGTAAATTAAACTAATTATTTAAAATAAATTATTGCCAGTCTGGTCGACTTTAAAATTGGAGGAGAGTTTTTCATTATTTATTACTGGCGACTCTTAAGGATTATCATTTATTTATTTATTAGTCTATAGTTATTTATTTATAAAGTTTGTAATTAAGAATTCTTAATAAAAATATTACTTTAATTTAGTAAAATAAAATTAAAATTAAAAACTTATTAATATTTATTTGTTTCTAAGTATCTTTTTTCCTTGATTTTTTCCAGGAAAGACAAATATTTTTTTTTCTTTAAATTATTTCTAAGGATTCTTTTTCTAGAAGAAAACATCAATTTTTAAAGTAAATAACTAAAAAAAATTAAAAATATTTTGTTTACAAAGAAATTTTGGAGCACCTTGTAGAAAATGATATAATTTTGTAAGTTACAGCTTATTAATAATTATAACATTGATCATAACTATAGAATTAAATTTACACACACAAATACATACGCACGCATATACATACATGTGTACATACTCACGCAAATCACACATGTACACACACACGCACACACTAACATATGCACATACTTTACCTATACTACATACACATTATACACATGTATACATTATATACTTATTGATAATAATATTAAAATTTTAGTAATAATTTATGATCATAAATTTTAACCAATTTAGATATTTTATTCTTAATTAACAAAATATTTCAAAATTTTATTAATACAATTAATTTATTTTATAAAATAACAGGTTATAGCAGTTCAACATTTTAAATCAGATCAACCGAAAACCAAAAGAAATGGTAGAAACGCATCTTTATAATTTTATTATGAACAACAGTGAAATTATCATTCAAATTGCTGCCTGGAATGATTGAGCTTTTAAATATACATAATAACTTAAACAAAAGTAAGATATTTATATAATATTATAATAAAACATTTATAAATTAAAATAAATATTACATTAAAAACATTTATGTAATTATTTGTTATATTAATTAAAATCAATTATTAAATTTAAATTATTAATACAAAGTTTACCACTATTTATTGTGCCTATTAGCATTTATAAAATAATACTCTATGTAACAAAAAAAGCCGCGCCTAATTTCTTATTATAAATATTTTTAGAAATAAAGAATATAACGTAAAATTTGGACAAACATAATGTAAATATATAGGTATAGAGAAACTGTGTCATTATTTTCATTATTTTAATATATTAATGTGGAATAATATTATTAATTAAATTCTATATTATTAATTTTATTAATTACAATTAAAGTTATTCATATTTATTTGTTTTTAACTTTCTATTGTTTTTCAAGGAAAAACAAATATTTCTTTTTTCATCGTTTCTAAGGAAAAAAAAAGACGCTAGCAAAAAACCGTAGAGCATTTCTTGTGTGTATCGACTCCAAGACGGTTGTGTAGTACATTCATTTTCTTTTTAACGTAAGTATTTGTTTTGTATATTTTCTCCTTTGGGTTTTATCGGAGCTATCGCCTAGTTCTCTCTTGTGGACTGCGTCGATAGGCAAGGATAGATAGCAGGAACTAGTCTCTTTATTCTAAGTAAGAATACGTAATTTTTATTCTTCGGATCACAAATGTTCTTCTCGGGTTTACCGGACGGCTCGTCGTACCAGACTCGCCTTCCGTGCCGCATCGCTCCTTTTTAAAGACGCGGAAACTCTCTCCTAATTCGGCGCTTCGCCCTTGTGGACGCAATAACAAACTGTCGATGTACACAATTACAGAGAGCTCTCAGGAGCGTATATCGAAGGCGCGCGGGGATCACGGAAATTTAATTTTTTCCCAAACATACCCCTCGGGTTGAATCGCCAAGGGATTCAAATGACAGTCAGGGGTAAATCCTTACACATTGAACTGCAATCATTGGAGACAACCTGCAGAATTTAGATTACGCTGAACCGTCCGGACTTACCGGCAATTTACAGAGTTTAACAATAGGTCTTACAAAAGTAGAAGACGCGGTCTTGACCTGAGCAACTCGCACCAGGCCATCCTTGTCAGGCTTACATTCGATGATTCTCGCAAGTTCCCATCTGCAGGGAGGTAAATTAGGATTTTTTATTAGAACAATATCGTTTATGCGAAATTCATCAGATCGATTCTGCCATTTAAAACGCTGCTGCAAGGTGTTCAAGTAGTCAAGACTCCACAATTTCCAAAATTGCTCGTATTTCGCACGCATTAATTGCCATCGATCGAGTCGTGACTCGGAGATATGTAAGACGCTCGGACTCGGAATCGATTTAATGGCGCTACCAATTAAAAAATGCCCTGGTGTGAGCGCATTGCAAGAATTTACATCGTCATGAAGTGCGGCGATCGGGCGCGAATTCAAACATGCTTCGATGTTACATAAAAGCGTGGTGAACTCTTCGACCGTAGGTGTGCAGGAACCAAGTATACGTCGCAAATGGTGCTTAACACTCTTAACACCTGCCTCCCACATGCCCCCAAAATGAGGGGCAGAAGGCGGAATGAAATGCCATTGAACTGGCTTTGACGCGAACTTCGCCTGCAGATCTACGTCGGCTTGAGTCTGTCGGATCGCTGTAACAAGTTCGCGATCCGCGCCTTGATAGGTAGTCGCGTTGTCGGAATAAAGATCGGATGGAATGCCACGACGCGCTACGAACCGTTCGAAAGATGCGAGAAACGCAGCCGTGGAATAATCATGAACGAGCTCTAAGTGTATAGCTCGTGTAGCGAGACAAACAAATAGCGAGATGTATGTTTTGTGCGACTTACGTCCGCGGCCGGAAGCGTCTCGAATTGCGAAGGGGCCGGCGTAATCAAGTCCCGTATGGCAAAATGGACGGGACGGAATTACTCTAAATGTAGGAAGGTCGGCCATAAATTGTACGCCGGTTATGGCGCGATGCCGAGTACATGTCACGCAATTGCGGATACAACCTTTTACCATGCTTCGCGCCCCCAGAATCCAATATTGTTCTCGCAACGTGCGAAGCATTAACTGTACACCGCCGTGAAGTGTATCCTTATGAATTTGATCGATAATGAGCTTAGAAAGGTAATGCTTTGGAAGTAGAATCGGAAATTTACGATCATATGAAAGGTCAGACAGTTGAAGTCGACCACCCACGCGTAGGATACCGGAGGGATCCAGGAACGGATCGAGAGAATGGATGGAGCATCGAACTGGTAACCTCGACTTGGCTTTGAAAGCGACGATTTCTTTTGAAAAGTATTCCGTTTGCATCTGTTTAATCCAGAATCTGTGCGCGGTTTTTATTTCATCGACTTGCAAAATAGAGAGACCTTGAGCAACATCTGGGACTCTCGTTCGAAACTTGAACCGAAGGACGTATGCGGTGACCCGTAGTAAGCGTGGCCACGTGGAGATATGATTGAAGGATTCAAAAAGTTCCGCTCGATTTGAATGATGCGAGTGGACTGCATTTGACGCTTTCAATTCGGAATCATCTTCGGTGCAACTTATCGTAGATTGAACTGGCCAATTATCCTCGTTAAATTTCAGCCATGCCGGGCCGTTCCACCAGGAACTGGAAGGCGTTAGCTGAGCTGGATTTATGCCGCGCGATGCGCAATCTGCGGGATTATCTTCTGTTGGCACATGCAGCCATGTCGCCGTAGGAAGCTTCGTTTGAATAGAAGACACTCTGTTAGCTACAAATACTTTTAAATCTGATGGAGCCTTTTGCAACCATGCTAATACGATTGTCGAGTCACTCCAGCAAAACACAGGAATGTTTTGCAATTTCATCGCGTCAATAGTAAACGAAATACAGCGTGCTAGCAGCTGAGCCGCACAGAGCTCGAGTCGTGGAATCGAAATCGTTTTAATCGGAGCAACCTTGGTTTTTGATAGAAGAAGTCGAACATGACTATCGCCAGAATTCGTGACAATTTTTGAATAGACTACCGCTGCATAGGCTTTAGATGAAGCGTTGCAAAAGTGTAAATGCAAGCACTGAATGTTACGCTCGAAGCCTAACCAACGAGGAACTTGCAGAGTCGTCAAGTGTAACATCTTTTCGCAAAAAGCATTCCATTCGGTTGTTATTTCCGCAGGAAGAATATCATCCCATCCGTAGGAAAATTTCCACAGTTTTTGCAGTAGAATTTTGAGAGATATCGTGATCGGAGACACCCATCCGAGGGGATCGAATATTTTCGCTATCGTCGAAAGGATTTGTCGTTTCGAAATGTCGGTAGATGGTGGACGGAATTTTATTTCAAAGGAAAAATTATCATCGCAAGGTGTCCAATGAATACCGAGTATTTTTAATTGTTCACCTTCTTGGAAAGGCTTGGAACTTGCTAGACCGTGATTCGCAGGATTTATATCTTGTAGAATTTCAAAATCGTTGCTGGCCCATTTTCTGAGATGAATGCCTGCGCTTAGTAAACAGCCGATTAGTTGGTCGCGTTTTTTAATCGTGGATGGTTTATCATCGCCTCCGGATAGGACATCGTCAACGTATATTTCATTTTGCAAAATTGCTTGAGCTAGTGGAAAACGCGAACTCTCGTCGATTGAAAGTTGTTTGAGCACGCGTTGGGCGAGATAAGGCGCGCAGGCAGTACCATAAGTAACGGTATTTAATGAATAAGTATGGACTGGCTCGTTCGGAATCGTACGCCACAATATTAATTGATATTGGCGATCGTCTGAATGAATCTGTATTTGTCGAAACATTTGCTGAATATCAGCGGAAAAAACGTATTTGTACAAACGCCATTGAAGAATAATCGCCGGAAGATCGGCTTGCAACTTTGGACCAATCATAAGATGGTCATTCAAAGAAGTGTTATTCGAGGTATTTGCCGAGGCATTAAACACTACACGAAGTTTGGTTGTAGTATTGTCCTCGCGAATAACTGGATGATGAGGTAGAAACGTCGGTTGAAAGAAGCGTTGCACGTTTTCGATTTTTTGCATATGCCCGAGCTCTTCGTACTCGTTAAGAAAGTCGACGTATTGCCCTGAAATTTCCCGAGAATTGGCTAAACGTCGCTCTAGTTGCGCGAGTGAACGCGTAGCTACTGACCTTGACTCGCCGATTTTTATCGGAGGACCAGACTTGAAGGGTAAGCGGACAACATAGCGCCCTGAAGAATCGCGCATATGTGTCTCTTGAAAATGTAAGTTGCAACGAAGATTTTCCTCTGAGAGAGCGTGTGTCGTTGGAATTTCTTCCAGCTCCCAAAAACGTCGGAGTTCGAAATCGAGATTGCCAGAAGTTGCTTGGTGAACGTGAATTCTTTGGCTATTTTTTTGGTTTGAAATAGGACCCGAAATGATCCACCCGAATATCGTTTCTTGCGCAAGTGTAGCATCGTTAGAAGCTTTCATTAAGCCACCCATCATAATTGAACCGTATAATTCGGCCCCGAGAAGTACTTCGATTGCATCATTTGAGCTTGGATTTGGATCGGCTAGATTCAATTTGGAAAGAAACGGAATCTCTTGTAATTGGAAATGAGGTGGAATGTACGCTGTAATTTTTGGAACGACCAATGCTTTGGTATGAAGAATCGTATCATTTTTATTAGTCGCGCTGATAGAAATAGAGACGGCATGTTGAACGCAATTAGACGTAGTGTCACCGATGCCAGATACCTTTACGCGTGTTGAAATTAAGCGAGCTCTCAACATTTGAGCGACTCGTGACGAAACGAATGTGGCATCGGAACCTTGATCGATTAGTGCTCGCGTGTAAACATGTCGACCGTTTTCTGATCCTATACAAACACGTGCGGTAGCCAGGAGCACGGGTTTAACTCCCGCGTTCACGTGTGAATGTACGTTGGACGCGTTATCGCATTGTCCAGAGTCTGTTGTTGTCGTTAAACTTGACCTTGAATTCTCGTGTAACAAAGTATGATGTTGTCTTTTACATTTCAAGCAAGTAAAGGAACTACGACAATTCGAAACGTAATGACCTTTGGTCAAACAATTTTTGCATATATTATTTTTTTGAACAAACTCTAGTCGATGCGAAATGCTTAACGCTTGAAATTTCTCGCAATGCATTAAACGATGTGTTTCGGAACAAAGAGCGCACGTACTCGCGGTGTTTGTATGGTGAGAACGCACTATATTATTTTTTCGTGCCGCATTTGGAATCGAGCGAGCACCGGAACTCTTTTCGGATGAGTTTCCGTTGGCGGACTTCGAGTTATCTCCGTCCTTGGATACAGCCTCAAGCGAACGAATTTGTGTATCTAGAAACGCGTATAGTTTTTCCATCGTAGGATATCTCCTCTCTGAACCTAAGCTGACTTCCCAATCTTTTCTCGTCAATTTGTCTAGTTTTTGTACAAGAATGTAGACTAAAATCATATCCCATTCATCTACAGAACATTTCAAGGCACGCAGAGCATTTATCGATTCCGATGAATTGGAGCGTAATTGTTTTAACCCGTACAGATCGTTAGACGAAACATTAGGAATGGTAAATAAACGTTTGAAATATGCGTCAATAATAACGCGTTGATTTTCGTAACGATTCGTGAGTTCCTTCCATGCAACATCGAAATTACTATCGGTTAGAGAAAGATGGGAAATCAACTTAGCAGCGTCGCCAGTAACCGCGGATAATAAATATTGCAATTTCTCGACTTGCGATATGGAACGGCGATTTTTAACGAGCGCAAGAAACAAATCGCGAAACGTTAGCCACTCGGTTACATTACCGGAGAAAGAAGGCAAGTTGATCTTCGGCAATCGGATCTCGTTGATGGACGTCGTTGCGGCCGCCGTTGGTACAGGAATGGAAATTGAAGCGACGTTGAATGCCTCGAGTTTTTCTTGAAAGAAGTCGTAGGCTTGCATGTACGAGACCTCCGCCTTGTCTAGCAGCTTGCTCTTGAAGAAGGGAAGCTGTGCCGCGTCTGCGTCGGTTGCTACTGCCTCAATGATAGCGGCATTCTCCTGGCATTTATTCCAGTAATTTTGCAAGAGTTGAAATCGTCCTTTAGTGATGGCATGAGTTTGATTATCAACTCCAAGCTTTTGGAAATTCGTTATTGAGTTCGTTAAATAACGTAAATTCGTATCGAACGCAAATATTGCCTTGTCCATTTCGATCTATTGTCTTGCAGAGCTCGACCTTGTAAGGTAAACACGGTGTTGAAATGGAGAACGTATGTACGTGAGTCGAAATACTTCCTTGTCGTACGGAAATTTTTACTCGGAATGTAGCGCAATTGTTGAATGGCTCACTTGAAGTAGTTGCACTGCTTACACGTGTATCTTGTTTGAATCCATCCGTTAATTTCTCGACACAGATCCGGCTCGAAGGACCATGTTTTGTATATTTTCTCCTTTGGGTTTTATCGGAGCTATCGCCTAGTTCTCTCTTGTGGACTGCGTCGATAGGCAAGGATAGATAGCAGGAACTAGTCTCTTTATTCTAAGTAAGAATACGTAATTTTTATTCTTCGGATCACAAATGTTCTTCTCGGGTTTACCGGACGGCTCGTCGTACCAGACTCGCCTTCCGTGCCGCATCGCTCCTTTTTAAAGACGCGGAAACTCTCTCCTAATTCGGCGCTTCGCCCTTGTGGACGCAATAACAAACTGTCGATGTACACAATTACAGAGAGCTCTCAGGAGCGTATATCGAAGGCGCGCGGGGATCACGGAAATTTAATTTTTTCCCAAACAGTATTAAAGATTATTATGCTGAAAATATCAGTATCAAAATTAATAAATTCTACTTTCACAGAGCAAAATTTTGGTATAAAACTCAATGTTGAACATTATTTATATTATTAATAATTGTTAAAAAGCATTTAATAATATAAACACATTAATATAGGTTTAACATGGCTTTAAAAGAAATAACAAATACCAATTTGTTTACAAAAAAAGAAATTTTGGAGGACATTATGGAAAACGATACGACTTTGTAAGTTATATTTTCTTAATGATTATGCATATTAATAATTAGTTATAATATTATAAAGAAAATAAAAACTATAAAACTAAATTTACACACCTCGCGCGCACACAGTCACATGCATACATAAAAACACACACCCACACACACACACACATACACGTACACTTAAATTTTCACATGTAACATACACATTATACATTTAAATATACATAGATGCAGATACACACAAATATACAAACGCATACGCACAAAAACACATATACATATACACATTATATATTTATTTACAATTATAGTTTTACATTAAATAATTTTAGCAATAATTTATAATTTTAAATTTTAATTATATTAGATATTTTAATTTTAATCAAACATTTCCTTATTTCAATCAAATAAATTCTTTCATTATAGTGAAATAACTGGCTACGTCAGTTCAATATTTCAAATTAAATCAACCACAAGAAATGGCAAAACAACGCATCTTTTTAATTTTATTATGAGCAACGGTGAAATTACCATTCAAATTGCTGCCTGGAATGATTTAGCTTTTAAATATGCAGACATAATAACTCAAACAGAACAAGTAAGATATTTTTATATTTATATAGTATTAAAATAAGATTTTTATATATTATTATTTATATAACATTACATTTTAATATATTTATATAATATTATTTATCATATTAATTAAAACAAATTCTTAAATTGTATAGGTTTATTCTCTACAAAAAGTGGTACCTAAAATCCCTTTGAGGAAAGAATATTTACATAATGCTTCATTTCCATACGAATTATTAATCCGAAGTTCCACTATTGTCGTTCCTATTGGCATTTATAAAATACCAAAAGAAATTGAAACAATTTCTTTGATTAAAATGCAAAATGCCAGAACCAAAAGTGGTTTAATAATAGGTAATTTAATATTATAATCTCTCTTATATGTTAATCAATATATTTAAATTTAAAACTTTTTGATTATCCAAAATCAAATTTTGATTTTTAATTGTAAATGTAATAATAATAATCAAATATAACAATATCAAACATAATAACAATAATCAAATATAACAATTTAACGATATCAAATAATAACAATAATCAAACATAACAACAATTATCAAATATAATTAAATATACTCAGTAAACACAAAGTAACTGTAACATAACATATATATTAAAAAGTCCGTTTTAATAAGATAACAGTTACGTGACATGCTCTGTTATATAACAGTTACATTATAGGAACAGACATTTTAATATATATTATGTTATTATTATTTTGTGTTTACTAACATAATCAAAAGAATTTAATTTAAGTTTTAGTAGAATATGCTTCTTTTATTTCAACTATCAATTCTGAAACATTCTGTATATTTGTTTTCATTAAAATTCCTAATTATATGAATTAATTATTATCTAAAATATTTTAATTTTCTTTTCAGAAATGGAACATCATATAAAAATGATTTTTGAAAAATCATCTAATAATCATTTTTACATTGGAGCGATTACAGATGGTTATTATAAACTGTCTGTTTTAATAACATGTAATGGAGAATTTGAAGATAATTTCACTTACGGCTCACCAATTAAAGTAATAGGAAAAATGCAAGTACCTGAAAATAAACCTCCATATCTTTCAGTTTCGTCAGTGGAAAATGTGCAATTAATTGACGGCGAAAAAATGTCATTTTTGCAAACCTTAAAAGGATATCATCCTATTCCATAAATTTTAACAAAATTATTTTCTTTACGAAGAGACAATTTGATTTTAAAAATACAAATATTTTACATATTTAAAGTAATAAATAACATATTTTAAATACTTTAAATATTTACAATAAGTAACATTATATTTTAAATATTTAGCATTATTATACGTATTATTATATGTATTTTATATTAAATATTTAATATTACTATGTTTTACTTTCTCGTTCTCATTTGCAAATATATATATATATATATATATATATATATATATATATATATATACGAGGTGTGTTCAAAAAGTATCGCGAATTTTGAATTTCCGCGGGTTACGTATATTCGATTTTCGATTTTTTTGTGGCGTTATATTGGTACTCATGTTTCTCATTTATGCCGACAAGTACGGCCATTTTGAATGTTCAGTTAATTTTTGACAGCTGCTTTGCTTGCACGTGTTTTGGCTCGTCTTCGATTTTTGCCTATTCCAAAAAATGGATCAAAGAATCTGTATCAAATTTTGTGTGAAAAACAAAATTAAGTGCGCGGACGCATTCCGAATGTTGACTGTGGCATATGGTGAAGCTACCTTGGACCGAAGCAACGTTTATCGGTGGTACAAAATGTTTTCCGAGGGCCGAGAAGATGTGAACGACGATGAGCGTGCCGGACGCCCGAGCACGTCAACAACAGACGAAAACATTGATGAAGTGAAGAAAATAGTATTGGTCAATCGTCGAATCACCGTTAGAGAAGTTGCTGAAGACCTAAACATATCGATTGGCTCGTGCCATTCGATTTTTACCAATGATTTGGGCATGACACGGGTCGCCGCGAAATTCGTACCAAAATTGCTCAATTTCGACCAAAAACAGCATCGAATTTTTGGCCAAAAACAACACACTAATAATGCCGCAGCCACCGTATTTCCCAGATCTGGCCCCCTGTGACTTTTTCTTGTTCCCGAAACTGAAGAGGCCCATGAAAGGACGACGCTACGCTACGATTGAGGAGATAAAGACAGCATCGAAGGAGGAGCTGAACAAGATCACAAAAATGATTTTTTGAAGTGCTTCGAGGATTGGAAAAAACGTTGGCACAAGTGTATAATATCTGGTGGGGATTACTTTGAAGGGGACAAAATAGATATTCATGAATAAATAAATAATTTTTGAAAAAACAAAATTCGCGATACTTTTTGAACACACCTCGTATATATTGATAAAATGTTACAAATAAAATTCAGAAAAAGAATAAATAAATGATCTTCAATTAAATAATTATCTCCATAATTTTATCTTATTCAAATTCTGAATTTCTTTCTAGCTAATATGCGACTATAAAAAGTTATTCAATTCAATTCAATTCAATTCTTTATTCGTCCCCTAAGGGATTGAAGGCGCTTTTGAAGGAGCGTTCCCCAACCTTACAAAACTCTTACAATTATACTTATATCTACTCTTATCTCTACTCTTACATCTAATTTACAAATAATTTAATTCTACCTTAACCTACTTATCTACTACTTTAGAGAGAGAAAGAGCCGTCCCTACCTATCGCTTCGCTTCGGCTTCCGATTCCCCATATATTCTCCACCACCTCATTCATACCTCACTCATTCTCCTCCTCATACTTCCCTCGTCCTTTCCCCTCCCTCCCCCTTTTCTTCCGTTCTCCCCTCTTCCCTCTTTTTCTCTATTTCTCTCATCCATCCTCCTTCCCCTTCTCCTCCTTCCTGCAATATTCCCTTCATTCTTTCCCACCAGTTTCCTTCTCCCCTTCTCCCCCACATTCTCCTATCACATGCTCCCATGTTTCATCTTCTATCCCGCATAACCTACATCTTCTTTTCTCCTCTTTTCCCAGTATCTCGCGCCCTCTCATCTCATTGTTCATTCTGAACCTAACTATCCTTCTCCATCTACTTTCCCCCCATCCCTTTCTCAGGTATTCCGGTAAACCCTCCTCCTTCCATTCCCCATACCATCTATTATATCTCGACTCTCTTATCCTCTCCCATCTTTCCTCCTTTTGCCTTTCCCTGTCTTTCTGTTCCCACCCCTCATATACTTCCTCTCCCCTTCCCCTTTTTTCCTCCATCTCTTTCCCTTCTATTCCTCTTTCTTCCAGAATTTCCCCCTCCCTCTCTTCCTCCCACATCGTTCTTTCCTTTCCTCTTCTTATCCTCTCTTTCATATCCTCAAAACATTTCCTCGCTAAACTTCCTCCCCTTCCTTCCTCCTCCAACTTCCTCTCATACCCTACCGCCCTCCTTCCTGCCCTTATCCTAATTTGTCTTTTCCTATCTCCTCTCTTACCATATACCCCGGCGTGCACCAGTCTACTCCTAACGTCCACCTAATCCATCGCTCCTGCATTGCCTCCACCTCTCTCCTCTCCTTCCATCCCCATATTTCCGCCCCATATTCCAACACCGTCCCCACCAACCTTTCCATTAGCCATACTC